CTGAAGCTCAGACTGGCTGTTGACAAAGCGCGACACCCAGTTCTTGCCTACAGGTGGAGGAGGTGGATCTTGGCCGCGGGCTGCGAGTAGAGCGTCTGCCATGCGTCGTACATTAATTATATAGGGTGGAAAGCCTCGTTGATTAAGGTCTAGGATCCACTGCACGAGAGACTGCTCTTCAGTAGTTGATAGCTTTCGGTTGACAGAGACTATCTCTGATCGCGGGTGGACACCACGGAGACGCGTCCGGAGAGTAGATTCTAGTACGTCATACGCTCTCGCAAGGGCTCAGATTGATTGGCATGGTTTATTCTAATAGGAGACCATCGCGAGACTTAGTCTACCTTCACGAGATGTCACCTTAGGCCGTGGTTGTTGAGTCATGGTCGTTGGCGCAGATAGAGTTGTGAGGATTTGGTGGGGTGCGCAGCTTACTGGGGTGCGCAGCTTACTAGTGGAACACAGTACTTAACGTGCAGGGTCAGTAAGCTGGGCAGATCAGTAAGCTGGGCACCCCACCAAACTTGACGCGACGCTCTACACAACCACCACCATGCTACGACAACAACGTTCTATACATACTTCTCGTGAAGGTAGAATAAGCCTTGCTATCGCGTCTTATTATAATAATCTAAAACAATCTATCTATGCTCTTGCAAAAGTATATAATGTGCTATAATTAACACTATATACTCGCGTTTATAGTACTTAGCTATAACTAGAGCTATAGTCTATTAACTATAAGCTATTGTCTATTAAAGAGCAGTCCCTTGTATAGTGGATTCTAGACCTTAACTATTATAGTTTTCCACCCTATATTATCAACGTACGACGGATGGCAGACGCGTTACTTGCCGCGCGTGGCCAAGATCCACCTCCACAACCTGTAGGCAAGAAATAGGTGTCGCGCTTTATCTAGAGCTAGCTAGAGCTTTAGACAAAGTAGAGTAGAAGGCTTAATAGCTAGCGCGCCTAGTACGAAGATTCTGCTACAATCGTAGCGTGGTTTAAGTTAGTAGAGGAGACGCGCTAGACGTACAGCGTGCTAGACTAGGATATCTATAACTTTAATAAGACTAGGTTTGCAATAGGCGTTGCTAGCACGTTAAAAGTTATAACTAGCTCTAATAGAGTTAGTTAGGCAGTTGTTGTATAGCTAGGCAATTAGGAGTAAGTTATAGTAATTAAGTGCGTTAACGCGTCTAGCTAGTCTCTGCCACTATTCGTGATACTATCTGGCAAGGTTCACCAGAGCAGCTGGTATCACAATCTCCCACCAGACTAGACTATCGGCACCTCAGACAACGGCTGGACGACTAATCAGCTTGGCGTAGAGTGGGTAAAGCACTTCAACTAGCATACAACAGCTTGTACAGCTAGAGTCTATTGGCTGCTTATTCTAGATAGTTATAGTAGCCACGCAACGCTAGAGTTTAACTAGTACTGCACTAAGAATAAGATTATCACTCTCTATATGCCGCCTCACACGTTGCACCTCCTCTAGCCTCTAGATGTAAGCTACTACTTGTAAGAGGCTACGCCTAAAGTGTGTGTGTGATCGAGTATATCTATACGACTACCTAGACTTCAAGAAGCTTGAAGTCTTGTTACTGCCTTTTTGGCTATGGATGGCGTAAGTAGTCGTACGCTCGGCCCGTTGGGCCCGCCCATTACACTACTCTCCTCTTAAGCGCGTGTACGGACGTAAGGTTAAGGAGCTTACCTAGCATAGGGTCTACTACGTTAATAAGATAGACTTCCTTATAGCCTATATATAGATCTAGCTGAAGATTTTTACGCAGTAGAATATCTAGGCAGGCTTTTAGGTAACAGGGCTTGTCCCTCCTAATCTAAATCGCGTTCTATCGTCGCTTATAGCAGCTAGAACACCATCTCTACCACAGACAACTATAGATAATAACACTACAGCGCAGGCAGTAATGTAGATAGAGACACTACATACAGTAGCAGAGCTTTAGTAGCAGGTGTAGTATCTCTAAGAGCGACTGCGCTAGCAGCTAGAGAGTCTAATAAGCGTTGCAATACGCTAGCTTACTAAGAGCACTTAGCTTATAATATAATTAGCAATAATACTTATAGAGAAAAATAAGAAGCTATATAAAGAGAACTAGCGTTAGTAGCCAAAGTAAGATTAATAGCGTTAATATATTACTTCTAGTAGAGTAATCTAGGTGTAGTAGGCTTAGCAGCTTATAGCAGAGGTAGAAAGGTTACTTATAGGGGGTAGCTAGAACTAGGCTAGTAAGTAACGTTAGCGCGCGCTACTAACGTGCACGAAGTATAACGTTAAAGGACATACTTAGACTTTATATAAAGCTAAATAGTAAACTATATATCTTAATTTTATATTATTTTAATACGTTATTGTAGCTTAATTGCGCAGAACGTTGCGCGAAGTTTGGTGGGGTGCCTAGCTTACTGATCTGCCCAGCTTACTGACCCTGCACGTTAGGGGCTCAAAATGCAAGACTTCGTTGGCAGAATCGATTCTTATTGGCTCTAAGAAGCTCTACTATCATTCGTCAAAGGGGTGCCAAGATGTTAGGAATCTCCGTTTTTAGGTTAGTTCTGCCAAGCTCTCGTCACATGACGAACACCAAAACAGCCAGAGAAGCCAGAGAAGCCGGAGAAGCCGGAGAAGCCGGAGAAGCCAGAACGTTAGTACTTACAGCCAGAAAAGCCAGAGAAGCCGGAGAAGCCAAAGAAGCCAGAAAAGCCAGAGAAGCCAGAGAAGCCGGAGAAGCCAGAGAAGCCAGAACAGCCAGAAAAGCCAGAGAAGCTAAAAAAGCTAGAAAAGCTGAAAAAGCTAGAAAAGCTAAAAAAGTTATAGAAGCTAGAGAAGCTATAACTACTATTATAAACTATTAAAATACTAATATATATAAGCTCCGCAGGACCCTAAATAACTTAGCAAAATTTAAAAAGCAGCTAAAGCTGCACCCCTTTTCAGCTCCGTTGCGGGCTGTAGGAATGTTTATTATTATTATCAACTGTTTCATGATCAACACATTACACACACACACACTCTCTCTCTCTCTTTCTCTCAGAATCCCGGGTTTGTTTTCGTTTTACCGTATCAATTTCGCATTACAGTATGTATATATCGAGATATCAGCCACCTCACTGCCAATCCAGCGAGGCAAAGGCCATTCTCAAATTGCCCACGTCAAACACAGCCAGCACATTCCTGAGAAACGTGTCGCCAAGGATGTACGGTGCGGAGCCACCGCGTTTGGGCTGGAGGACGGGCTGGTAGCCCAGCCAACACAGGGTGGTCGAGGTGTTTGCCTGGCCGGCCCAGCCATCCATCAGAATGTCTCTCTTGTTGATGGGGAGATTGGTGCCGTTAATGCGAATGCTGATTTTGGGCACTGTGGCGTTGCACAGAGCAATGTATGCGGTGTCATAGGGGGACCACGTCGCGGGCGGCTGTAAGGAGTTGGCAATGGCCACGGCAGTCTCATTGGTGACGTAGGTCCACGCGGCTCCCGTGTCGATGACAGTGAAGACCTCGTCGTCGGTGTTGGCAAAGGTACCGGGTGACCACTCGATGAAATTCTCGCCAATCTGGAAGCCGTCGGGTCGTACATTCCAGTGTGAATACTTGTTCTTTAGACCCCAGCCTTGGTACGTCTCCGTGTGGACGGCCGAGTTGGCCCAGACGCCCGTGTAGGGAAGGCCCTTGAGCGGCGCGCCGCCTACAGCCACGAAGCCAGATATACTTAGGTTCGCCGCATTCTCCGTTCTGTTGCCTAGGTTCACGGAGAATATGGGCTTTTCCAATAACCCTTCTTTGACGGCATTCTGGATCCACGTGTTGGTCGGGATCCAAGTGTGCTTTGGATCGGTTGCATCGTCCAGACTCGGGTCATTTCCTGAATAATATGAAGTGTAATTGCCGAGTCCCCAGCCTGTACATTGTCAGATTTACACACACATACATATATGCGGTTTGCTGGGTGTTTTTTTTCGATACTTTCGCAAACCAATGGAGAGAGAGACATAGATAAGAAACGTACCCATGATTCCGCTCGTGAAGCCATTCTGGTCGTAAAAATATGTCCTATCCACTAACCCAATATGCTGATCAGGCACGGTCAATCCCGCAAACGTCACTTTCTCGCGACCAACCGTGCCCACTGCGAATTCTCCAGTGACATAGGAAGCGTTAAAGTTTTGGTTCGCCACTTGGCCGCCAGTGTAGTCTTGAGGACCATACGATGCGAAGCCACATGCGGATTGAGGTCTGTAAGAGAGACAAGTCAATCTGGTGTTCGTGGCGAACCTTTCGCAGTATACTTACTGCACTTTGTTGTTGAAGTCCACACAAGTGAAGTTGGCTCTGGGTAGCCAGAATGCACTGCTTGCGGTATCGAAAAGGACACCATAAGACTGTCCGCCGAGCGTAATGTTGATGACATAGTTTGATCCGTCCAGTGTGTTTCGAAGGACATCGGTACCTTTGCGTTTGGACCGAGCCGCTATTTAGCGGAGGACCCTGATGTCAGCACTCCATCATTCTGCTTTCAAGCGGTATTGCTGCTTTACCAATTCGCTTGTCCAACTGGCGTCCGGGAACGGGTTGCAGAGCGTGTACGGATCTCGCAACGGGGATTTCGAGTTCACGAAGGGCATCAGCGTGGTTCTCAAAGTATGCTGCGGATGCAAACGGGAGAAGTGTCTGCAGCGCCAAGGCTGTCAGACAGAACCGGCGACGAGACATCTCTGAGGGAACCAACGAGGCAGGAAACATGGCGTGAGAGGAAGAGATAATGTTGCTAATGCTTTGCAAGGCCAGGCCGCGAGGCCAAAGCTATAAACACGACGGACATTACCCCTACCACCGCGAATCTGCGGAAGATCTAGAGTACGCTTAGACCACTGGACAGATTCTGCATGACGAATCTTCCTCTGATAAGTACATAAATGGCCGCGTAGATGGATGGTTACGTCCTGAATACCTGCAGTGTTGGTATGTACAGGTTCGCAACTGACGTCCCTACTGCCGCCTGTTTGCCTTTCTCAAGGTATATAATAGAATGAAGATCTCCTCACCATCATACTCAGGGTCCATCACTATCTGCTACAAACCCCTCTTTACTGAATATTCATGGTGAGATTGCAGGGGTTGTACGCCAACTTCTGTATTGCCCTGGTAATCCGATTGGCTATGTTGAAATGGAAGACGTCTTCGATTTTATCAAGGGGTTCGTATTTGTCATATCTTGGACAGGATAAACGGCTATAGGTGGGGGTAAACAATAGAAGGTTCGTAATAAAAGAGGGGCCGCACAGACGGAAGGTGAAAGTAAGATAGATAGGGGTGGTGTGAGAGAAAGCACTATATGTACTCGCGCTATATGCTCACTTGAGACTAGCGCTAGGAAGCTTAATAAGAAAGACCGACTTACTAGATAACGTGGTTCACAAGTGAGTCGCTAACCCAAGCGAGTCGCTAACGCCCCACTAGCCTATTAACTTCATCACTATAACGCGTAAAGTCTTAACAACGCAACTATCTATTAATATATTCTAAACCTAATCTTTAACTTGCTCTTTTTAATGTTTAGTTGTAATATATTTAAAGTGTAAACTATGCTACTACTATCTACAACGTCCTATAAAGAACTTTATCTAATCAACGTGCTAGAAAGTGCCCTTAACGCAACTATAAGCTAAAATTAAAGCGTCTAGATAAGCTAGAAGAGGAGGCTATAGTTAAGCGTATTCTTAAAGAGTCTACGCAAGGATTTGCGCCTACAAAGCTTAACGTTTAAGTGATAGCTAATAAACTATTAGAGGAGCGTAGTTAGACTGGCGAATAGGTATAGGGTTCCCAAGATGGGTATAGAGTAGGGTAGGGTCGCACAGACGTTAGGTAGGGATAGAGTTGGGTCGCACGGACCTAAGGTAGAGGTAGGGTTAGGTCGCACAGACTATAGGTAAAGGTAGGGTTAGGTAGACTGTAGCGTAGGTAGGGGTAGGGTTAGGTCGCATAGATGTTAGGTAGGGATAGGGTTAGGTTACACTGTCTATAGGTGTACTTAGGTATAGGGTACTTATGCTAGGTATAGAGTACCTACGCAGAGAAATTATATAATAATTAGTAATTTATTAATTATATCTAGTTATTATAGATAGGTAGGGCGGGTTGTAGGAAAATATAGGCATTAGAAATTGTAAAGGGCTACGCCAGAGAGGTATGACCTACAGGTCACATAGTAGTGAATCACATGACTTTAGTTACGTAACTAAATAACGTAGTTAGCTATATATAAATAAGCTTAAGTAAGAAGAAAGACTAAAGGTCTAGGCGTTTGTACGAGTAATAACTATCAAAGGAGGGCCCTCTAGATAGTTCTTTTTTGTATCTTTCTTCTTCTGTACAATAGGTGAATGCATACTCGTTAGTTAGGCCTCTCTTGCCCATAACACTCATCTTAGTTATTCCATATATCGCTCTAGATAGGTCATTAGAATTATACTATAATAATTCACTATAACAAATATACCTTATACGCTATTAGCTTTTCTATTAGATTAAGAATTATTGCGTAATTAAACAAAAAACCCTACTCGCTATTAGTTTTTAAGTAGTATTTACTTAGTTTTGACCTGCTAGTAGTAGTAGCAGCCTAGACTACCTATAGCCACTTAGTATTCTCCTACTTTCCTAAGTCTTTTCTAAGATCTAACGTTATCTAATCTAGAAAATTAAATAGCTAATTAGTTATATATTAACTAGATATATAGAATTTAAGGCTTTTAGCTCTTGCCTATAGCTATAGTAGCTGTCTTAAAATAACTAAGCATCTAAGTAATTATCTTAAGATAAGTCTACTCTTGTGCTAATAGCCATAGCTATTTAAGATCTTAAGAATTAATGCTACCATTATTAAAACCTTTAAGGCTTTTAAAATACGTTGTAGCCCAATATATAATTTGTTCTTTTAGCTACATATTAATATATTACTAAAGCTTAATAGCACGCTTTTATAAATTATATATAGAGTTCTACCAAGTTTTAATATTATAGATAATAGAGAGACGCTGTTTTAGAGGTATGTGTTACTACATAGTAAGAAATCATTTGTATCGCTATAGTAATAAGTTAATTATAATATAGATAGCCTAAAGCTATTCTAAGTTAGTACATAATAATGATATGTAATAATTATATATATACTTTGCAAAGTAAATTTAGAACTAAGATTTAGGTTCTAATTGTAACGGGCTAGGTAGCCCGCTACAGTACAGATAGCGGTGGCTATCTTATGTATCAACTACGCAACGATATCAGCAGCTCTGATATCTTGTGCCAGCCTTTGTGGCGCGGTGGGCGCGTTGTAGTTGCGTGCGCAGTCTAATAGGACTCGACCCGTTACACTAATCTTATTAACTTGCTGCCTTTATTGTTCTTTGTTGCTCTTTACGTCTAATAGAGCAGCTAGCTTTAAATGCTTAATAATGTCTTAATTAACTAGATTAATAATAAAAGCTAGGTAGGAGATAGTGTTTTTGCTAGATTTCTAGCTAATATTTCTCTCTTATATGCTTGCCTAGATTAACTATATAAGCGTACTATTATTAGTAGCGTTATTGCAGGTAATAGCCTGTAGGCGCTTTGAAGTGCCTATTATTAAAAGGACTGCTAGTAGTTCTTAAGCTATAGAAGCTCTTGTATGCCTTCTACGTATAGGGATAAAATCTAAAAGCTTCTCTCAAAGTTTCTATTAGGTATTAACGTAGTATCCTTTAACTGATAGAAAGCTTAGGTAGTTACTAGTAGACTAGGCATCTAGCGTAATTAATATTTTCGTGTTTACGTTAAGGTTATATAGCAACTCTTCAGCCATGTCTTTATATTAACTTTTAAACATTGAGTCAAATTTATAATAGCTAATATTCATAGTAGTAGGCTAAAGAAAGTAGAGAAATTGCTAAAATAATAGCCTCTTAACTATTTAGAAAGACTAGTTGTTATTAACTACTACCTTTACTAGCTTTTTCTTATATGCTGTAGAGGAGTAGACTAGTATTATAGAGCGTACGCTAGCTGTTGCTATAAGGATAGACTAGCTAAGAGAGGCTAATGTAGTATTGTGGATTAGAGAAGAGATTGTCTAGTAGGACTCACTTTTGAGATAATTATAGAGATGCTTTATACTAATAGCTTTTAGCGTTAGATGTTAGAGTATAAAGCTATAGTTAAGGTAGAACACGTATAGATAGCTGCTAGAAGCGTCTGCTGCTTCTCTAAAAGTAGCCTAAACTTGGCCTACGCAACTATTAGAGCCTTATTGTAGATCTTAACTAGATAGATCTCCAACTTATAGAGTTTAGGTCCACTACTCTCTTTATCTTAAGAGTAACTCTTTTTCTTTGTTACTCCTATTTGCGCTAATAGCTAGATACTGAACTATAGTAAGAGTTAATTAATTACTACCCTTTGAGAGATAGGGCGCACTTATCTTTAGAGATTTAAGTGTATCTAGTACTAGTAATATAGGTTCCGCTATTGTATAAAGCTATAGCTATTAGAGCTATGATAACTATATATAATAACTTAAGGCTAGTAGAAAAAGTTTATAGATAGAAAAGTCTCTTAAGAGAAATACAAGAAGGTCTTACTTAACTATTACTACTGAGCACTCCATATAGTATACAAAATAAACAAGCTCTATTCTAAAACTTAATTTCTATTAAGTAAACTCTATTTTACAGCATATTAACTAAATTAGGCAAGCAAGGCTAGAATTAAAAAATAAATATAGAACTTGCTTTTTATTAATAGCTTATAATTATTAGCTATAATAACAACTAATGAGCTATCTACACGTTATTATATACCTAGTTGCTATTAGAAAAACCCTTAAACTTAGTTTCCTCCTCTTCTTTCTTACCCTACTCCTCCTTCTTCTCCTTCTCCTTCTTTTAAGCCTTATTAACTATCTAGCTACTAATAGATCTATAGTTATTATCTAAGAGATATAGGGTTTTATCCTTAATCTCCTCCTTACACTTATTACTACTATATGCCTTGATATATAGCTTAGTGTCTTCTAACTTAGTATCTATATTAAGACCTTTAAAGATATTACTAGGCTCTTAGTACTTATGCTTATTAGTACTTATAAGTAATAAATTCTTATAATAAACTTACTTCTACTTTATATCCTAAGCTATAGCTAACTCTTTAGGTATAAAGTCCTTTATAAAAGCTCAAAAAGCCTCTTTAGATTCTTACTCTTTAATAAGTTTATATTAAGTTTACTTAAGCCTTTTTAATATTCTTTATATAAGAGTACTTTAAGTGTTTATTAACTACTAAAGACACGTTAGTTTAAGTAGATAGTCAGTAGTAGAGGGGGGACTAGGGTAGGTGTAGCAGTATTATAGAGGATTTTCTTATGCTACTTCTTATTAATTTCATTCTAGATCTTCGACTATTTCTTATATGTAAAGCATAGTGCGCTTTTTATCTACTTAGCTAACACGTGTTAGTACGTATCTATAATTAAAAACTATTATAACATACTACTTCTTTTCTAAACTATATAGTTTTCTATAAGCTACTTAATCCTCTTCTAAAGTAGCTAAGCACGCTCTACTTTAAGTAGCTTAAGATATTAATTAATATTCTTAAGTTTTTTTATAAGTTAGCTTTTAGTAGCGCAATTAGAATCTTTAGCGTGTTAAAGAGCCTTCTCCACTTAGTTTAGT